TTAGGTGTGTCCTGTAATTTATATTAATTCAGAGTGCAGACTAGAAAGCCAAAAATTAGCAAGGATTTTGACCAAAAGATTGAGAGGTGATTAAAAGTAGTGGAAGAAAGACTCATTTCTCAGTAAGAATAACAAAGTCACATGGATGATGGATCATAATAACTTCATAATCTGACCCACATGCAGTAAATATGGTGATGACTGTCATTTTGAATAAGTGAGGTAGATTGATGTTGATTATTAATCCATTTCTTGGCCAGTCTGATTGTTTCTGAGCCAGATCCTCCGCTATTTAGTATTTTTCTTAAGTATCTTCAGAGTACCTTTCACTGACAGTCCCTTCCTTTTTAACCAGTCACTTTTCATACTCTGTGTTGCCTTAACTTACTTGAGGGGTTTCTTTCATGAGTTGATCTGCTTCTGCTATTCTCATAGTTGGACACTTGGTCTTCTTTTAACATATAGTGTACCATCAGTGCTACTACAGACATATGTTAACATATAATTCTGTATTACATTTACTTGCTGTGAAAAAAAATTCTGGTTTTGCTTAATTCCCATGTGTTGAAACTGATGGTGATTTGTACGAATGCACACAGTGAAAAAAGTGAAATATGTTTTGAAAATAAGTACCTACTATTTAGTGCTGGTTTCTAAAGTGGCAGGTATCTGTACAGTAGACACAGAATAGGTAAAAAAATATATTTCCAGAATAGAAATTCAGAAGCTGGCTTGGCTAAGTGTGTCATTGATAGCTTTATATGAGGTTCCTGTGAGGACATGTGTTTAACATTTGCAGTAGGATAATATACATAACATACTTCACAAGAAAAAAAGCTTTTTGGAGAACAGTGTCCAAGCCCGGTTTTCTGTGAATGTGTCGAACTTTTAATATCTTTTCAACTCTGCCTATTGCCCCTGAATGACACCCAGCCTTCCCTATAGCACACCTCTTCAGCTGGGCAAATGGCTGTAGACACTGTGATTGAGGGTGAACTACACGTGGGAGCTGGATAGTGGCTTGCTGCTCTGAAAATAAATGTCTAAATTGTCAGTCCCTTTTTCTCAGCAGTAGGTTCTAATTTGTGCCTGCCTTCACTAAGCACTCACTAATTTTCTGGGAATTTAAAATCTTTTAAATCTCCAGCTAGGTCAACATAAAGATTACTTCCCACTAATGGCTATATTAAAGTAATATTGCCCTGTTTTCAATTGGTTTACTTTCTGTTAGTAATAAGTTCACAACATACTACGTACCATGAAATAAAAAGATACCTTTTTACTGGTATAAGTGAAACTCCAAGTAAATTTTATTACATTTAGACATACTTTCTTCCTCTTTTGAACACCCACCCTTCTACCAAGCATGTCTTAAAAATTTCTTCTCTTTGTTGAAATAAATAATTTTGTAAAATCAGAAAGTCATGAATTCGTTTAACGTAACTGACATGGTTATGAAACCCAGGTCTTTTATTTATACTTGGGATAATGCAGAGGTAATGAAAGCAAAATTGAACCTAAGAGTTTTTTTGTTTTAATTATAAAACAATGTGGGTAAGAGACTTGGATTTGACAGCAATAGAAGAAAGAGAATATTATGTTCATGCCTTCAATCAGCTTTATTAGATCCTTAAAGGGAAAATTATGTGAAAGACAGAGGAAGAAAACAACAAACTAAGCAAGATCCCAATTTCGGTATAATTTGGAGAAAATAACTGATTTAGGTTGGTCGTTTTGCCAGGGTGAATGACTCAAGGCTTCCAAATGAGAAATGGAAACCAGAAGGATAGCGAAAGCCTGAAAGAACAAATTGAGAAGATATGATTGACTGTAATGTTTCAAAATCAACTGCTGCAAAGATGAGTTTGGGCCACTGCCCAGAATACAATTGAATGGTGATGTTCATTTAGACCCTTAATGCTGAAACAAAATAAGATGTAGCTGTGTTTCTGTTAGAGATTTACTTGTTCTTTCCAGTGTCTCTAGCTAGGGATATGATGTCACGTCCTCTCTCTTCTATTACACGCTGCAGCAATTGCTGCTGCTGTTCCATAATTTTTCTGAACATCAGTTTTCTGAAGAAAGGCCTTAATCCAGGTGATAATATCTTTCAAATGTGAAATGTCATCACCATTCATTAGTTGACTGAAAAGTTTTATACACTGTGTGCAGGTAGGCTAACTCAGGGTTATTGATCATGGAAAAAGGAAGTATAAGATTGTTGTGTGTGTATGTACTTTCTGACTGACAAAGCTGTTCAAGTTTTTGTTACTGTCGTGCTAGTTTTTTAAAACCAAGTGAATAGCTCATTCGGCAAAAATTTCACATAATTGTATCTTTAATGGGAATGATTTGTAAAGCATTATTTGGAAAAGTTGGGGGCAGCTGTTTGTCCTCCACCTCAGGCACAGAAGGTTCTAAGAGAGACTTCACTTTATGCAAAAAACTTAGTCAGTTGACAATAGGCAGTGATGAGATGGGATTGTCTTCTACTTCCTGCTTTCCTTTATTCCTTTCATCTCACTGGCTGTGCTTACTAACCTCTTTTCTGTTTCTTTTTCAAATGAGGAAGAAAAAAAAAACCTAAACCACAGTTCATAATTAAATACTGAGCTAGTCCTTACCATGTTTACTGAATTACATATTGCATATATGGATGTATATCCTCAAAGTTTTCACGTGTTTTTAGATTTCTAAAGTTAATGTGTTCCATAGGAATAGACCTTAACTCCTTCCTATCTGTTTTTCATGATGAGATTTGACTCCACAGAGAAAAAGAGGAGTAAAGCAGTGAAACCCAGTTACAGATCCCCTAAAGTTTTAGGGATTTGTAGGGCCATGAATATAGTTGCTCTGTGAGCTCTGTGGATTCTCCTGCTTCACAGTAGGGATTCCTCCAGCAGAAAATCTTCAGTGTTGACCTTACAGCTGCAATAAGCAGATCAGCCTGACATGACATGCACGGTGATATCTTTGCACAGGTCTCTTTGCCGCAGGGTGGTTAACCTGGCAAAGAGGGCTTTAAACCAGGAACCAGTAGGGAGGGAGAGTTGCTGCAGCTCTGAGGGAGTGATGGACAGGCTGACAAGCAAAGTGCCTGGGGTGATGTGAACAACAAGGAACACAAAATTAACAAAACAGGGATTAAGTGGCATCACCTCAAGCATTTGCATGTAAGCAAGGAAGTATCTCTGAAGTGCCTGCACACTAAAGCACTTGGGGAGTAAACATGAGGAATTAGAGATCTGTGTGCAGCTGCAGGGCTGGGATCTTGCTGGGATCCCAGAGATGCTGTGGGGGGATACAGGGTCTTTAGGAAGGACAGGCCAGGAAGACAAGGAGGGAAAGTTGCTCTTTTGGAAGAGAGCAGCTGGAATGCATGGAGCTCTCCCTGGGGGCGAATGGTGAGACCTCTTGGGTGAGGATTAAAGAGCAGACCAATACTGATGACAAGTGAGGAAGGCCACATTGGGCATGTGAATGTTGAAGGCAATCTTGCTTGTCATAACCTTGAGATGGTGGAGTTCAGGATTCTGAGAGGAATGAGCAAGGCAAAAAGCAAGACCACAACCCTGAACTTCAGGAGAACCTCTTCAGGGGTCTGGTTGGAAAAGTCCCATGGAATAAAGCCCTGGAGGGAAGAGGAGTCCAGGAAAGCTGAATGATATTCAAGGATCAGCTCCACTCAAGAGAAGTGCATCCAAACATGCATGAAGTTGGGTAAAAATGCCAGGAAGCCTGTGTGGTTGAGCAAGGAGCTCCTGGTAAAACTCAAACACAAAAAGGGAGTATACAGAAGGTGGAAGCAGGGATGCAGGTAATGTGGAAGGAATGTAGAGATACTGTCTGAGCACGCAGATACATGATTAGGAAAGCCAAAGCCCACCTGGAGTTGAACATGGAGGGGGATGTGAAGGGCAACAAGAAGGGCTTCTATAAGTACCTATATGGTGAAAGGAAGACAAGAGGAAAGGTGGCCCTGCTGCTAAATGGGGCAAGGGCCCTGGTGACACAAGACATGGAAAAGGCTGAAATACTGAACACTTTCTTCACCTGTGTTTTTAGTAGCAAGACCAGCCTTCAAAAATCCAAAGCTCTGGAGAGAGAGGGAAGGCCTGGCATAAGAAAGACTTACCCTTGATGGAAGAGGATCAGGTTAAATAATACTTAAGCAAACTGGGCATATATAAATCCATAAGCCCTGAAGGGATACACCCATGAATGCTGAGGGAGTTGGCTGATATCATTGCGAGGTCACTCTCAATTATCTTTAAATGATCATGGTAAATGGGAGAGGTGCCTGGAGGGAAAGCAAACGTCACTCCTATCTTCAAAAAGGGCAAGAAGAAAGATCCAGAGAACTACAGGCTCACCTGTAGGTCAGCTTCATCTTGATCCCTGGGAAGGTGATGAAGCAATTAATCCTGGAAATCCTTTTCAGGTGCATTAAGGATAAGGCAGCTACTGGGAACAGTCAATGAGGATCCACAAAGGTGAAGTCATGCTTGACCAACCTGATAATCTTCTATGAGGAAATTACTTCCATAGTGTATGAGGAGAGAGCAGTGGACATTGCCTTCCTAGACTTTTGGAAGGCTTTTAACGCTGTCTCCCATAACACCTCATAGAGAAGCCATTGAAATATGGGCTGGATGAGCAGATAGTGAGATGGATTGAAAACTAGCTGATCAGCCAGGCCCAAAGGGCAATGATCAGTGGTACAAAGTCTAGCTGGAGGCCAGTAACTAGCAGTGTACCCCAGCAGTCAAACTCTGTTCAACTTCTTCATTAATGAGCTGATTTTTTAATGTCATCTCACTGGCACGTAACAGAATTGGTGGACATTATTACTTAGCAAATAAGCAAAGGGTATCATTGTTTGTCTGTGTGCATGGAAATGCTAAAAGGTTAGTTGCTTTACTCAAAATAGAAAATAGAATTGGCATTATGGTAATATGTTGTTTATCCATACAAAAATAATTTCTTTTTTTCTTCAATAGATTGCTTGGCTTCTACAAAGGAATTTTGCCTCCCATCTTGGCTGAAACACCTAAAAGGGCGGTAAAGGTAAAAAATCCATACTTCCTACCTAAAAGTGCATGTTGGGGAAGTGGTAGCTATAAAACATTTTATTTCACTCCCACTGATTGACATTAAAATCTTAAACTTATTTGACATACTGATCCTTTGATTTTTAGTAGGAGGAGTCTCTTCTGTTGATAGCACAACAAAAGCTGTGCTTGATTAAGAAGTGTAGGATGAGCTAATGCTAGCTCAAATGCTATTTTTGACCTGTATATGTAATGTTATTGAAAAACAAATTACAATTAGTTTATATAATCAAAGTTAATAAAATACTTTAAGTGGTATTTTAGCCTCATAAATACCTCTGGTTTATGGTTACTAAAAATGCCTAGAAACCTACAAAACTAAGAATAGTTTAATAGATTAGCATAAGCCATTAAAGAAGCCACTCTTCATAAGTACTTAGTAACTTGCAGTCGTATATCTGTAGGTTTGAAGTGCTGCCCAGAGTTTTCATGTACCCTATTCCATACTCACACTTTTTAAAAGACTGAATATAATAATGGGTACAACTCTCCACCATGTAAAGAACATTTTGTTAGCCTATCAAAGTGTAGTTGCTGTCAAATGTTGATCTGATTTTCTTTTATTATCCTTTATATTGAGTTATAGAACATTATTTTACTAACATTCCTAAGCAAAATACATCAATATATCAATTAAATCTTGCAAACTTTTAATCAAAACCTAGCAATTAAGCACCTCATATTAAAGTTCTAAATCTATCAAAGCATCCATTGTGTTATGAGCAAAAGTTTTTTGTCTTTGAGAACTTTGAAGTTTCCTGTAGTTGCATCAAATGTGTATAAAAGCAGCTATTTTACAGAATGTCTTGATTTTCCTTTCTTTTTTTATTTCTTTCTAAAAAGGCTGCATATGATTCTGGTCCTTAGTCTGCAATTAATCATTCACATTCCAATTCCTTTACGGAGGAATAATATTTGTATAAAGTGACAGGATGTGACCTTGTAACAGAATCCTAAAGGAGTTCTGGTAATGTCATCTTCTTGTTTGCATTGGCATTTTAGATGCAAACTACATATGACGCCTATCTCAAAATTATTTAGTACAACTAAGAAAACTAAAGTTCTATTTAAGAGTGAAGCAAAAGTGAAGAATAGATGGATGATGTTTAAAAGATTTCTAGCAACTCATTTTCTTCAGACTGTGATGTTTCTTCTGTCTCTTCATTTAATTTCATTTGAAACAGGTTAAAGTCAGCCTGTTCATGCCTTTTAGATTCCAGCAGATATTTAGTTAAAGTACAAACCCAGGTTTGATTTCTGTCCTACCAACATGAGTCATCCAAATATCTTGAGTCAGTTTCTCTCATTCAAATTGGTTAAATTGGCTGAAACCCCAGAATATTCAATATAATTATGGAATCATAGAAAGATTTAATTTGTGAAGGATCTCTGAAGGTCACCTGGTGAGCCTCCTGCCCAGAGCATGGCTGACTGCATGGTTAAATCAAGTTGCTCCAATGCCTTGTGTAGTCAAGTTCTGAAAATCTTCAAGGATGGAGGCTCTGCAGCCTCTCTGTACTCCTGTTCCAGTGCTTAATTGCTCCCACTGTGAAGAATTTTGCCTTATATCCAGTTCAAATTCCCTGTTGCAACTGTGCTTTTGTTATGCACCTCAGAAAAGAAGACTTTGTCTTCTGTGTAACCCTCCTTTAGAGAGTGGAAGACAGGAATTAGATCCCCTTAACATTCTCATCTCCAGGCTAAACAGACTCCCTTCTCTCAACCTCTTCTTGTACATCACAAGCTTACAGCTCCTTAAATGTCTTACTGGTGCTTCCATAGTGGGATACTTTCTACCTAATTCTTGGATATTTACATGAGCGCTCAGTAGTGTTTCTACAACCATGAAAATCAGGTTTAAATGCAAGACATCCTTTCCAACTAAATCATTGAATTCTTTAATTCTTCACACTATTCCTTTAATATTTGTGTTCTTCCTAGGGACCCCATGAGATCTTTAAGTTACCTTGAGACAACAGCTATATTCTACATTAGAAGGATACAGTGACAGACTTGTAGGATCCTGAATACTGAAGCTATTCAATGTGAGATGTCACATCAGCACAATTTCTGACATCCAAAGCAGAGTTTGTACCCATGCTTTGACTTGAAGAGAATCCAGCTTGTCTCAAATTTCCACTAACCTTATTTATCTAAATATATAAATGAATGTAAAACCCTGAACTGCTTCCTTTGGCTCATTCTCCACCTTTTATTCTCCTAATAGTTTTTCTCATTTTAAAAGGTGCCAAGATGTCCCTTGTCCAAGGCCAAGCTGAGTAGTGAGATTTAGAGGAAGACTATGTCTATGCCTCTGGTTTTGAGACTTAGAAAGGCAATGTCTAAATTTCAGCAGCCTTGGTTTGTGTTTGTAATGAACTTTTTGAAACCTTCTAGTTATAGTGTCTTTTATATCCCATAAAAGTGTATAGAGAACGGACAAGGCAGATTTTACACTAAGAAAAAATTTACTTGTGCTACTGAAATATTGTATTTATCTGGTGTGGTGATATGCAAATAAAAATAAACTTACTAAAATGGAGTTACTTAGCCACAGTTACACATATGTGTTGAAGATACAGCTTCAGTTTTAGTCAACTAGGTTCTCATGCCTGTCCTGTTATTTTTTTTCTCTCTTTATTTCCTTTCTAAAAAGAAAGCTGGTATTTCTGGAAGATGAAAAGTCAAAGTTTATAACTTTATGTTAGATTGGACTTGGAGGAAAGAAGTGATGATGCCAATACAATGGTTAACAGATGAACTTTTGGGGCAAATTTATATTGTTCATGTGTTCCCAGACATCTTGTTTCAAGCATATAGTTTTACCTTAGAGTTATTGAGACATCTGGTAAGTACTTTGACTATTTTCTGTGTAACTTGAATTAAAGTGTATCTTTACCAGATGCACAATATCAGTTATTATATACACAAAAGCATGTTTTAAATATACTTATTCTGAGATTTTTGCACAAAGCAATTATCTTAATACAACTGTAGAGTAAAAGATAAATTACTCTGTGTTTTTAAAAACATTTTGGGTGGATGTACATGATATAAATCCATATGATATGGCTAGATACTTCTTGGCAAAATTGTATGTATACTAGCCACTCTGGTACACCCAGTAACATTTATATTGAGTTTTATTGTTATTGATTTTTTTCTTTAAGAAATTATATAAAGCATAGTCACTATTAAGTAGTTATTTTATTTATGACTCTAGGAAGCTATTGATTTTTAAGATAACATTTTTAAGACCAAGAAATTGCTAGGTAATATATTTCTGCCTTTATTACAACCATTTTACAGATCTGTGACACTATGGAAAACATTAAGGAATACCAGAAATTCCATTAAAGGTTAGGAGGGCAACAAAGAGTAGAAAGATGCTGGAGAGAGAATAAAAGCAAATTTTATCACAATAAGAAATTAATTTATTTCAGTGAAGTAACTCACCCACCCACAACTGACACTTTCTCATATACTTCCTTTTACCTATTAAATATCTTTAGTTATCCATAAAGATAGACCTACAGTCTAAGCAACGGTTTATCTGGGTATCTTTTTCTGATTTTTGGCAAGGCCCAAACAACAATTTTAAACATATTTGCAGGATGTTTGCAAGATTACTGTTCAATCTGTACGCTATTTGGAGAGCAGTTAAAATCCTGATTCTAGGACCTCGTCTGCAAAATGAAATAATAATTCCTATTGAGGATAAAAATTTGCCTATCTACTGGCCAGAGTATCAGTCCTTCAGTTTTCACAAGTTAACATCCTAATTTTGCATTATAAATGTCTAATAAGCATTCCTTCCTGCTTTAAATGTGGTGGTACTATTAACTTGTGAACACCCAGTTTTCTGCTGATTTTGGCGTGGTTCTAGTGACTTTTCAGTTGAAGCAGGTGGTGATTGAAAAATGTTAGTGACTTTGCCACAGGACAAGGTTCTAAACAAGTTAAAATGACAATGTTGTGTTTATTACTCATGTTCCTGTATATGTGGTTTATGGAAAAGCTGTTTTGTTCTAATAGGTCTGTGATAACTGAGCCCTGAGCGACTGAGCTTGTCTTCTTGGGCTGAGGCCCAGCACGAGTCACCCAGTCTTTCTGTTTTGTCTGAAAACGTACCTATTCCCTTATGCTTCTTAAGATTCTCATATCTCTGTTGACCTTATTTCCTCTTGCCTTCCTCTCATGGTGATACAGTTTGATTGTCACCTGCATGGGCAGGTGCTATGTGAGGGATCACAGATTCCTGTGTGGGAGCAAAATGCACAGACTTTCAGAAGATCCCACCTTCATTTGAATCATCTTGCTTGAAACTAATCAAGTGTTGCAGGTCAGCCTTGGAAAGTGGCCAGGAAAGTCAGAGGTTCTAATTATTTGCTTTTACTATACAGGGGTGTGACAGCTCTTGCTCTAGTAGATATCCACCTGCACTGACACAGTCTTGGTGAAACTGTGACAGGTTTTTGCTGTTCAGTCCCTTAGTACTGGGCATGCCCTGTAAAAGCCGCTTTCCTTTTGCACGCATCATGAATACTTCTTGGACAAATTACAGGACTCACAAATAGTGACCTTCCAACCTTTTGTTCTATGTGTATGAAAATTGCATGGAATAACACCTCCAATAGCTTTGGTTTTAGCTGGAATTCAGATATCTACTGTTTATAACCTGCAAAAATTTCTTCTGTCTTCATTCCTAATGCTAGAAGATCATTTTCACTACCCTCAGAACTGTCTTATGTGGCATCAACCTGAAGTGCTTTTTCAGTGGCTTCAGCAACGTATTTGCATAATATGAATTTGAAACAGTATAGGGTTTGGGGACATTTGCTGTACAAGAGCATGGTTTTCAAACCTTGTCCTCTAAGGAATTGCAGATTCTCAGGACTTCTAAGCTCCACTGACTGAAGGCAGACAATTGAGTGAAAGATTCATTCATAAAGAGCAAAAACTAAAGCAAATGTGTCTGTTGAAACAAATAGATTCTAAAAATCTACAGACTATCCGTCTTCAAAATCTGCAATTACATCTCTTGGATGAGAAATAGAGTTGTATCTGAGAAATGGGAATGTGATTGCAGTAGATTATATTAAAGATATGAGGGTGATTTCTTGGGAGAAATTATAGTACCTACTTCATTTATACTACTATAAGAAAATTCAATCCTAGAGGAAAAGTTTATGAATTAAAAACATGAACTGTGTGTTGTAGGTGAACTCTTACATGAAATATTGCTTTAATTGCATTTATGCTGTTATTATGTGTGATATACTAATAAAATCAGTTCTGAAGCCTAATTGTCTACTACTACAGAGAGTGTGAAACAAAAGTGGCATATGTTTATTTTGCAGAACTGCACACAGCTACTCAGGATATGAGGTAGTGAAGCTCCATTGCAGTTTGGTTTTGATAATTTGCATAAGTAACATATTTTTTTCCAATGCAATTTCAGTCTAACTTTTATTTACAGTTTTTCACCTTTGAACAATACAAGAAGCTACTGGGATATGCATCGTTACCCCCAGGACTGGTATGTATGGATACGGAATTTTATGTTCTAATTTAATATGTGTCCCATCCGTTCCCTCCCATAGAAGGATCCCAAAAATAAAAGGGCCAGTCCAACCAACAATTTTTCATATCACACTTGTCACTTAGAAATACTGATAACAGAATTTATCAAAATGATAGCGTCTTGGGGGCCCTAAACTTTAACAGATAGTTATGGTTTTATATCAAATGTCTTCAAAATAATTTCCTACAACAACATGCTACTTGTTAACATGGGCAGTGACACTCACCATGGAAGAGTTTGCATGCAGTTTGTCATTCTTCATTCTCACAAAATAGCTAACAAAAGTTGAATATTATCAATTTTTATTTATTCATGTGATAGTGACTGGAGACCGCAACCAGGTATCAAAGTGCTATTCTGCAAGGCATAGTACAACAAAAACATAGACCTCAGTCTTATTCTAAAAACTTCATAACTGAAACAAACTATTGATAGGAAACTGCTACCTCCTCTGCAGTCAATGGCAAAACTCCCTTATACATCAGCGGAGTTAGGTTTTGTTCCCATCTCATATTGGAAAAATAGATTTGGTAGTAACAATGTTCGCCAAAATCAGTAAGGCTGGAGCTTGCCACTACACTCCTACCTTACCATTCTTCTTTTTCTTGAGCTCTCAAGAGTCCCTGCTCAAACCCCTCTGTATTGAATAAGTTATTTTTCTCACTATTGTTTTTTTTCTGTACTATTGGTTCCCTTGAATTTCAGCAACTGTACTCATTATATTGTATTTTGGTCCTGGGACTATTTTCAGTGTCTAGAAAGTTTGGAGATGTTAAATGGAAGTGATAAACGTGAAAAAAATTATGACAAAAACTAACCCCTCTAAATTTTCTCAATTGACCTCAATATTTCAATATTATTTTTATGTTACAAATGAATTAAGGTATTTTTAAATGCTATGTCATGATGGAAAGCAAAGCAGCAACTATCTCCATTTTTGTGACTGTAATGAACCATCAGCTTCTAAGTAAATGGAGTTAATTCATTCTTTCAGTGGGTGCTGACATTTCCATGTGTGCCACTTATTCCCTTATAAACCTTTTCAGGATTGAAATTTTCTTCGGTGGACTTTTCTTCTACTGGTGCAATTTGCTTAAGTACTGCACTATTTGAGTTTCTTACATTTCTTTTATTTTTTTAAGTTAATGTGTTAGTGTTATATGCTTAATGCTCGGTAAGAGTTTTTATTTTTTCAGTGCTGCATAACTGCATTTATATTTGTGTTTTTATTCAGACTCCACCCAAAGATAACATGAGGGCATTGTTTTTCCATGTTTTCATAATAAATTGGTACCGCAGTTTTTCTTCTAGCTGAAAAGAGAATTCATTGACAGTGCTATGACATTTTATTTTGTATTTTTTGGAATGTGGTTTATGGCTATTGTCATATTGTCTTCATGAACTGTCAACATCTAATCAAGGGCTAAACTTGTTTAGTAATAGAATACTGCTGCATTGCTGTAATCTCACAGTTTGCATTGTATCATTCAATTTCATAATCTGATGTATGGGAAATTTTACTCCTTAATTTTTAACTTTAATTTTGACTCTCCTAGGCATTTGCCATTGCTGGCTTGGGATCTGGGTTGACAGAGGCAGTTGTGGTTAACCCATTCGAAGTAGTAAAGGTTACCTTGCAGGCAAATCGGAACGCCTTCACAGAGGTATGAGAACTGTTTCGTTCTTCTTTTTCTGCTTTATTTGGCATAATGCTCTTCAAAGCTCATATTTAGAGCAGAATGTCTATAATATATTGGACTGATGCAAATGATTTTCCCACAAGCTTAACAGAAACGTAAAAAGAGAGAAGAGACTCAATAGACAATTCCTTTAGATATGTAGAGATGCATACAGTATTGTCAGCAGTGTCATCGTCTCCATTGTAAATATTCTGTGCCTGAAGTGCCCCCTCGAGCCCTCCCCAGCAACCAGCACCCAGCACTCTGAGGAACTGTAATCCAGAAGTACAAACCTGAGCCCCTTGTCCACACGCATTTGCCCCAACAGGCTCCAGACTTCAAGTGTGCACCAGAAGTTAACATGAAACACCACAGCCCCATGCCCTGGGCAGCATCCCACTGGTGTATTTTATGTTTAAAATGTAGCTGGTGGATTTCAGAGTATTGGATGAAATTATTTATATTATGGGTCTCCAAATGTATAGGCACAAACTGGGAAAGTTATATAATAAAGCATACCGATAATTTAAAATCCTGTTTCACTTCAGACTTTTATTATTCAAATATTGCTTCATTCAAAGAAGTCAGTGTGCACAACTGATTTTGTCCACAGTTCTGGGTACTGCTGAAAGGGGAAGAGATTATACTGGAAAACAGTGATTCATCAAATCACTGAGAGTGCCCAGGAATGCACCAGCTTCAATTAATTTTAATGTAGAAAATGTTCCAGGCTAAAGCGAAGGAAGGCAGTCAAACTGTTCCTTCTTTCTTTTCTCAATGAATAAGACTAACTAATCAGCTCTTTCAAAATCTTTTGAGAAATCAGCTGTACCATGGCAGAAGTGCCAAATCACATAGCCATGGCATGAAGAGGTTGGCTGAATCCCTGTTGAGGCTTGTTTTTTGCATATTCTACTATTAAGTTATGACTGAGTTAATACTTGCATGCTTTGTAGCATTCAGAACCATTTTGGGGGATGCACAGTAAGGGATTTATCACCTGGCCATTTAGATAAACTGTTTGGGGCAAGCTCCTCGGGTACACTCTGCCAAAATACTGCCACTGATTTCCAAATGTCGTAGACTAGATGGTACCTACTCCGTAACTCCAGAGAAGCATTCTCTTTCAGAATAAATTTTAAAACATTTGGCAAATTTCTGTTTAATTCTCAGTGCCTGTGAAATAGATGTTTGGTTTTTCCAGGCCTTCAGTATAGATATTTTTTAACCATGGGCAGCAAAGCTACTGAAACAGAAAGCTAATACAGTACGGGAATAAAAAGGTGAGGATCATGGAAGGAGAAAGACTGAAAGTAGAACAAAGCAGTGTGTTAGAGGATCTCTCTCTCAGGAGGGTGATACACAAAAATTATGGACTATTACTGCTCCAGCAGTAGTAAACTAAGCAGATATTCTGGATCATTCTGCCTCACAGTTATTAAGATAGATAAATTGTATCTTCACAAAACCTTTGGGTTTGTGTGTAAATACACCAGTATTGTATTTTGAGCTAACTAGTTCCTGTAAAACTGCAAGAGACCAAAATATCCTTTCACTTCATACATTTTAATTTTTTTCTCTATTGCAAACTTTATAACATAGTCTGGGGTGTTTTAATTAGTAAATTTTATGCAAGTACTTACTTTAATTACAGCATCCCCCCTTGGACCTTCAGAATACTCTAATAATCACAGTGTAGCTGTTCAAAAGCATTTTGAGCTGTTTGTTTTGGGTGAATGTTCTTTGAATTAAATTAAATTAAATGCAAATTTTCACAAAATCCAAATAATACTATATTATTATCCAAATAAAATTGTAAAAGAATGCTATTGGGAGTCCACTAGGAATCTAGTTTAGACTTAAAATATAAATAAAGTGTCTGTTTGTCCTACTCAAAAAATCCAACAGACTGAAGTTCTTAAATCACAAAGACAGTAAAATCACAAGACATTTCAATTTTTAATATATCTTTTTTTAAAAGCCTTAGAATTTCACATTTTGCTATAAATCAGGAAAACGCCCATGACTTCATTACCATGATCTGAAGTTCTCGTTAATAATATGTTAAAGAACATTCCACACAAAAGCATGTAAACTCAAGCCTATTGGGAGAAGCATATGCATGTTATATAATACAGCATAAAGCAATGGTGCACTCGTTTCAAAATAAAGTATGTACCTATCCCATTGTGTAGCTTTCATACTATATGATGAAACCTAATGCAGTTCACATATTTCTTTGACTATTGTATTGAAATAATAAATATTTCTTGTTTAAAAGGAACAAGGAAGAGCATGAAAACGTACACCCACACCCAGACTCCTGCACGCCCCCAAAGCAAATATTCACACACTACAGTGACAGCTGAATTATTCTGTGGTACCAGATCATCTTTCTAGGGCTAATAGGTTTAAAGAGGAAGGCCTCTATAAATCACGTATAGGCACTTTTCTAACATGGATTGCTACAGGTAAAAATAGCGGTGACACTTTATTAAGGTAAACTGCTAGAAAGCCTGACACCTTGTTTGGTTTTCTTATTATTTTTTTCATTTTTCTTTTCCCTGTGGCCATGGATAACTCTCTGGCTATAGAAGCTAGTGTGGTAATAAAAATCTTCTCAGTTGACCAAAGAGTTGTGATTAATTAAACAAATGCAAGTTTCTGCTTTATGATGAGAAGAATCTAACTCCAGATTCAACTGACCAGGTCTCTATTAAGTATAAGTCAATAGTTGTGTGAAGTGAATTAAGCTCCGGATGTTTATACAATAAATTCTTCCATCTGAATTAGTCATCCTAAGGTCTTCCATCATCAGTGATGAAAAACAGACCTTCTATGCCTTGATCAGCTGACATTTTAGATGCCTACTTTGGGTGAAGGGAAGTGCTGTCTAGGAAAGCCTTCTATTGCTAAAGGGCTAAAAAAGGGAGTCTTTTTGAGTAGCTCAGACGTAGATGTAGACATTGCAGTTATCTAGATTTGAACTGGTGAATCCCACCTCAGGTGTTCAGCAAATGATAAGCTTCCCCTCTTCATCATTAGTAAATCTGTATTCAAGATGAGAACAAGGGATAACTTACTATTGAAAGTTGCTGTATTCAGCTTAAACCACTTTATTCAGCACCTCTAGTTATTTTTTAAAGATCTAATGTTTGGGTTTTGTGCATGAGAAAGGGTGTTATTGCTGATATCTGGGCCATATTCCATGTTAAGTATCCGCATTTTAAAACAAATTCTGATTTGAATCCCTGGGGGTAGTTAGAAAAGTAAACTATAGCAAAATGTATGCACAGCATTAACAGGATAATATTAGTTACCAAATATGAAAAAATAGAATGAAACTTAGTATTAAAGAATAAACTTGTCAGTCACCTAAATAAGCAGTCATATGCTGTGTCAGATATAATAAGCATCATTTGGCTGATGCTGTTGATCTACCACGGTGATATTTTGAAATGGAAAGCTATTAAACAAATAGGTGTATTGAAATTAGCAGTGTTCGCATCTTTGTAGTCAAAATTATTCTGTATTTTCATGTTAGAGCCTCCTAGTGGAAGTCATGTTTTGCCTTTCTAATTAAATATTTGGTTACCCAGAGCTGGCTTTGTGCTTTGGAGAAACACAAACTCAAATCATCAATTTTTTAAAAAGGAATTTTTCTATAATTCTGCTAAAAAGAAATCATAAATGTTCAGAAGGGCAACACCTGATTCTGAGTGCCACAGTATAGTGGAATATATATCAAATATGTGTATAGTCAGGTAGATCCTGTCTGAGAAACTGATCTTTGTATAAGTGGATTCTGAGGAACTTTCTTCCTTACTGCCTTTTGTTAAATGGAAGTTGGCTGGCTGAAATGATTTCTATGCCTTTTGGGTATTCTTTTCAAACCAGGATTTCTAAAGTCAATTTTCTAAATCTTTACATTGGAATTTAAATGAGTGTTCTGATTTTCAAAATCTAACTACACCTTTTCTGGCTTTTCTTAGCTTTCCCTAGCTAAAAATTTACTGTTCCAATTCTTTCCCTTTTATTACTGCTTCATCATGCATATTCCTGTGCCATTGGTTTTACTAGAGAAGTTGTTTCTATCTTCTTATTGTTCAGAATAATTGTTATATACCCTAGTTGTGTAAGGTTTTCATCCATCATAATCTTAAGAGCACAGCATCAAGGATAAAAAACTATTGTGAAATTCACACATTCAAAGCCACGTGTAGCTCTATAAAATCTATTTTTTTAATTATTATTTTAAGACCACTTCCTTTGCTTTAGGGTTCCTTAGTCTTTTACAGTACTCAAGTCATACTTTTTTTTTTCCTACAATCAGAAAAATGAGGAATCTTTTTAATGAAAATTGTGATTTTTACATGACTGCAGGAAAGGGAAAATAAGAAATATGGTGAGACTTAAGATAAAATTACAAAAACTGGCAACACTGTGTTTGTCAACAGGATTGAAATGATGCTATGGTTATTATTTTCTTTTTGTAATGATCTCTTCCTTCTTTTGCTTAACTTGTGTAGCAACCATCTAGCTTTGTTCAAGCTCGGCAGATCATTAAAACCGATGGTCTGGGCTTTCAAGGACTCAACAAAGGTCTTACTGCAGCACTGGGCCGTCATGGAGTTTTTAACATGGTTTACTTTGGATTCTACTTCAATGTGAAAAACATTCTTCCCGTCAATAAAGTAAGTTCTTCATACAATGCAATAGACAAACAGATAAGAGGTTTGGCAATTTAATTTTTCTGTGCAAAGCGGTGGTATTTAGTAATAAATGCGAACCTAGCTTTCTGTTTTGTAGAAATCAATTGCATTTTAATGGAAGTGCACCAAGGGTTTGTACTTCTCACGTTTTAAGAAAAGCAGAGTACAAATAGAGTAGTCGTGTTTGAATTCTCATTTTTATGAATTTCTCTTTATAACATGGTAGCAATGCAAAGAAGCAGAAACTGGGATACAGGTATGTTATGCTTATGTTAGGTATGTGTACATTTTTTGTGATGAACTGGCGTAGAAGAGAAAAATCAGTTTCTAGAACTTCTTTCAGTATTCACAAAGCAAGGGGCGAAGCTTGAGGAGGTGGCAGAGCTGGAGTATGTAGGGCATTCTGGCCATAGACTAGGGCTATTTACTCAAAAGAGAGTTCAACCTGGTGTTGAAGGACAACGGGACAGATTTATCCATATGGGAGGGAGCCAGCCCAAAACAGGACTTACAGGGTCATGCACAGGGGCTTATGTAGTTTGTAATTAAAAAAAAAAAAATCTTTATAGCTGCAATTTCACTTGAAGCGATTTTATTTGATAGTCTTATATTCCTTTACATAACAAAGGAAACATTTCCCTTTACAACAAAGGATAAACGTGGTAATACTGGCAACTTACTAAATGGCTGTGTGAGCAACAGCTAATGGTTTATTAATGACTCCAGTACGTTACTTACTGAACTGTGTTTTCACTAATGTGATTTTTAGATGATGACAGTTAAACAGTCACAGGTGTAATATGTAGTGATACTCATATAAGAAGCTGCAGTTTACATCAAAAGGGATCAGTTTCGTTCCCAGATGAAGTAACACCTCTTTTTTTTCGGCACTTCTGAGTAGCCTGGTATTTTTGTTGGCAACATAGTGTAAATGGAGAAAAGCTCCACTTCTTATTTGCAGATCATTACAGTAAATTGAATTGTTCAAGAGCAGCTAACCCACAAGTTTCTACAAGTTTCCTTCAGTGGATTTAAGCATACTTTACAATGTACTTTAATCACACATTCTAAAAACTCAAAGCATAGCGTGATACTAAGATAGGAGTAAACAGGTTGATCAAAAGACAAAAAAACTATAATTATCATGCAGAACATTCAGAATCATATGCAGGTAAGGACAAAGCTTGTCTGCAACTTCTATGAAAATCCTGAAGTGATCTTGTGTAGCAGTTGAAAAATAGTAATAATATTTGGCATAAGCATGTTTTCCTAGCATTTCAGATTTTAAAAAATCAGGAAAAAATATTGCGTGATTAGAAAGAGTCAGAGCTTTATGATCTGAGAGAAATTAGCACTTTATACAGATTCTGTATGATACAGATAATTGTTAACATCTGCAACACAGAGATTAAATACATCTAAAAAACAAAAGAGAAATTGCTTCAATGTTGTCAGCCAGTGGCCCAGCAGTCCAGTATGTACTATCAAAAGCAAAAGGCAATTTAATCAATGTAGGATTTGACTCATTAACTGCAAAAAAGTGGAGAGTTTGCCTTGTGCTGGACGAGTGCAAAGTGGCTTGCACGGTGGCTTGCACAGTGGCTACATCTGTACTAGTAAATTGAGCAGCATCGCTGAAACTCAATCACCTGTGCTGTTAAATGTTCCCTGGCACAGCTTTGGCCTAGGCCAGCCAACACTCTTCCTGGGTATGGCTTAGGAGCAAGGACAGACAAGGAACCATTCCTAATAGGCAGCTTTCATGCAGCCAGTCTGTTTTGGATGGTAATGGCATTTAATAGTGCTAATAAAGTTAATAGGACTCTCTCGGCCAGCCAGTATCAGTGCCATAGACAGTTCTGCACATATAGATATAGCCAATAATTCTGATCAAACTCTTAGTAAAATCAATGCAAATCTTAACCTGAGTTTAACAGGGTACAGATCAGGCCTCATCTGGCTTGTGTCAGCCAACAGCACGTCTCAGGCATTTACATGCATTGAACTTCACTTCGCTGACTGGAAAATAGAGGTATTCAACAATATTTTGCAATCTGTAACTTAAACCTCTTCTGTCAGTAGGCAGGTACTAGAGGCTAAGACTTATCAAATGTGTACAAGGAATTTGATAGAAGCTGTTTTGCAGTTAGTCTGAAAAATATTAGACAGTCATAACTTTTCAAGATTTCTCACATGCTTGATTTCATTACAAAACCTAATTTTTTCACTTTGTATATTTTGCCAAAAAAAAAAAATCTTAAAGTCAGTCTTGTGATATTGACAAACATATAAAAATTGTGAAACAAGAATACTACACTTTTGAAATAATTTTGGCCCTTGACTATATATGTGCTGTTCACCATCTGTAACGTAAGTGGAAAAATGTATGGAAATGTCCGTACGAGCCTTTTAGCTGTCAACAGTGCTAAACTGTGCATTAAATTTGCATCCCAATTAAGGATGTTCGCAGCTTATTTTGCCAAAAACAATAAACCTTTTATGTTGAGTGGTCAAGTGATATAAATGACATGTGTGGGTTGTAAATGTTTGTAATGAATAACTTTTCATATGTTCAGTCTATTCTGCTAAACAGACCATTTACAGCCAACCTCATGGTCTGTTTACTGAAAATGGAATAAGCCAGACTTGTTTCAATTGCCACTAATCTATCAACCATAGAGCATTAACAGCTATGCATCTGCACTAGCAATCAAATTAGTCTGCAAATTTATATCGTCTCAGTTTTATGGCACCTGCTTTTATAGCACATTTCGTAGGCGTCCAGCAGCTCTCACTTTTCCATTTTTTATCATAGTTAGGTTTGATGTTGAACGCTAGTTTCATTAAAACCTTTGCTCACTACCACCTCCAAGTGGCTGTCATATTTTTTAACGATATGAAATTTCCTCACTGTCTGTTAAAAGCCCCCTTTGAAACGTGGCCAACTGCAAAACTCATTTCAAAGCAGGCACCGCCTGCCCCAGCTGCCCCAGATGTGCCTCCTGGAAACAGGGCAGCTGCATCAGGGAGCGGCAAGCCATATATGAATTTTCAGGAGAGGAATCTTCAGTCAAAAATGTGAAGAAGAAAAAACAAATTTCTTCTGTTTTTCCATAGAAATTAGGCTAATGCTGAAACTGATAACCAAGTTCAACCTTAGCTGGCTGAGAGGCAGTCTTAAAATAGCTAAATTCTTGCAAGACATACAAATAATCATTTAAAAGGAGACGAGATCCTACAAGTGCATCTTATGAGTGCCCCAGAGAGGGAAATTTTCAGTGAGAATTTATGCCTTATTAAAGACTGAATTCCATGGGGAAAAGCCCATGTAAGCCTTAGTCTGAGCTTGCACCTTTCCAGACATCACTATCAGTCAGCCACAAGAACCCATAGGACACCAAACTTCTTTAGTTCTGATATTCATGAAGTTACTTTTTTTTTTTTTTTCTGTTTCTTAAATTACTGTATAACTGAGACTGAAGGTAGATAGTGCAGATACAGTACACTCCTGTACTGGATACAGGAGTAATCAGTAAGACATCTGTTTCTGGGTGCCCTTTTCTGCATAGTTAGTGTCTTAATGATGCCATGAAAAGGTGACCTGCTTGTAACCCAACAGTTTATTAACAGTTTATGTAGACGAGCTCTGTGTGGGAGAGCTGAATCTTCAGAATTCTGTATATCTCTTGTATTTGTTGTCTCTTATTTTGTTATTTCCATCAAAAGTTCTTTGGTACAGATGTTTATTTTAGAATTTGTGTAGTCCTATCCTTGCCCTATCTGCCCAAAAGGTGATGGAAAAATAGTAAATAATAGATAATTGGAGGGCGATTAATAATTTTATCAGGAAATTATATTGTGAGAAAAACAAATCACTGAGAGGATTGCAAACTGTTTGAAAATATATACCTTGTACAGCAGGCAGACATGTCACTCTGGAGACTAGCCAGGACATTTATCCTAGTGGCTGTCATTCATCTTAAGCTGTCAGATATCTGACAGGTGGATTTTAAGAACCGAAATAAATGTCTGCTGCAGTGAGGTTGCACTCAAGGAGGAATCTAAGATAATACCAGTGTGAAAAAAGCCCATTCAACTCAAACAAAGCAAAGCTGTGACTATGCATTTTGGAATGTCTTTCCTGATCATCAATATGTTTATTGTAGTTATAATTTCAGCACTTCTTACGCATCTTGACCAAGATCAGACCATCACTGTGCTAGTCAGGCAGCAAGCTATAGTTTACAATAAGGAGTTTACTATGTAAATGCATGAGACGAACAGAAGTTCAGGGTCAACAAAACTATGACGCTTCTCCTTAAGGTGTGGTCAAATCTTAATTAAGTCACAAACAAAAATTGTGTGAATATTCTTTAAAAGAATCACAACAGTGATGAGATTCAGTGTCATTTTTTATTTTCACCCTTTCTGGAGTCTTTCAGTGAGTCTATATCATTTTCTCCTCCTCACTGTTGATTTCTGTGGGGAGTTTGCATGCCTCCAAACCATCTGTACCAGCCTCTCCCTCTCTAAGAGTGGAATTTGACAGCCTTTCTTCCCAGCCTGCCTCTGTGACTCAGCAGGAAGACCCAGACCCTGTCTCTCCTCTGGGCTCAGGCTCAGTGTCTGTGTTTAAAGCAACTTGTTTTGAGTTTCTCATCTGTTCCCTGTTGCTTTCCTACGAGCTATCTCCCACCTTGCCTCTCTCTGAATATACCTTTTCTCCTCTGTCTTGGAAACTCCCCTTCCTCAGACCCATGTGTCCTTTCTTCCACTGTTGCTGTAGGAATATCCCTTTAGTGATTAAAACTGAGTATCAGGCTGGCTAAGGCAGTTCCTTAGAGCCTGTTTTGCTGCCAAACACTTGACTATAGTCAAGGTAGCCTAGATCAGGTCTTGTGGCATCTCTTAGCTCACCACAGAAGTTCCTATGCTTTAGCCACTTCACTTTAACCATAAAGGCCAAGAAGCAACTCTATCTC